CCCCAAAACCCCCTGAACACCCAAACCCTCCACCCAAAACCCCGGAAAAACCCAACCCCCTTGAACACCCGACCCCTGAACATCCCCCCCCATAAAACTTTCCAAACCCCCCCTGAACTATCCAAACCCCCTTTTTCCCCGGGAACATCCAACCTCCCCCATTCCCCCCCCCCTGAACATCCAACCTCCATAAACCCCCCTGAACTCCAACCTCCCCCAAACCCCCTGAAACCCAAACCCTCCATCCAAACCCCCTAAACCCACCCCAACCTCCACCCAAAACCCTTTGAACTCCAACCTCCACCCAACCCCTAAAACATCCAACCCTCCACCCAAACCCCATTGAACACCCAAAAACCCCCGGGAAACACCCAACCCCTGAACATCCCCCCCCTAAACCACCCCAAAATCCATCCAACCTCTAAACCCACCCAAACCCTGAACACCCCAACCCCCCATCAAACCCCCTAAAACACCCAAACCCCTTAAACCCATCCAACCCCTGTTCCCCCCCAACCCCCCCTGAAATCCAACCCCCTGAACATCCAACCCCCTGAACCCCAAAACCTCCCATCCCCCCCTTTTAAAACCCCAAACCCCTTTGAACACCCCGCCCCCCTAAAACCCAAAACCCTCAAATCCAAACCCTGAACACCCAACCCCTGAACACCCAAACCCCTCCCCCAAACCCCTGAACCCCAAAACCTCCCACCCAAAACCCCCACCCAAACCCCCCCTGACATCCAACCCCCCACCCAAAACCCTGAACACCCCAAACCTCCATCCAACCCCCCGGGGAACAAATCCAACCCCTAAACATCCAACCTCCACCCAAAACCCTGAACACCCAAACCCCTCTAAACTTTCCAACCCCTAAAACTTTCCCAAACCCCCCCCCCCCCCCCCCCCTGAACACCCAAAACCCCCTGAACACCCCAAACCCCCTGAACACCCAAACCCCCTGAACACCCAAAACCTCCATCCAACCCCCTGAACACCCCAACCCCTAAAACACCCAACCCTTCCCCCCCCTTGAACACCCCAAACTCTGAACACCCAAAATTTCCTGAACATCCAACCTATAAAACACCAAAACCCCTGAAAAACCCAACCCCTGAACATCCCCCCCCCCTGAAACATCCAACCCCTGAAACCCCGACCCCCCCTAAAACATCCAACCCCCACCCAAACCCCCTGAACATCCAACCTCCACCCAAACCCCCTAAAACACCCAACGCTTGAACACCCAACCTAAATTCCAAACCCCTGAACACCCAAAACCCCCAAATTCCAAAACCCCCCCGGGGAACACCCCAAACCCCCACCCCAACCCCCTGAAATCCAACCCCCCACCCAAAACCCCTGAACACCCAAACCCCCATAAAACCCCCTAAACCCATCCAACCCCACCCAAAACCCCCCCGGGAACATCCCAACCTCCACCCAAACCCCCCTGAACATCCCAAACCCCCCTGAAATCCCAACCCCTGAACACCCAAACCCCTCCATCCAAACCCTAAAAACCCAAAACCCCCCAACCCAAACCCCCCTTGAACACCCAAAACCTCCACCCAAACCCCCCTGAAAAAACCCAAAAACCTCCACCCCAACCCCCGAAAAAACCCAAACCCTCCATCCAACCCCTTTTGAACTTTCCAAACCCCCCCCTGAAACCCAAACCCCCGGAAACCCCCAACCCCCTTGGGAAACCCTTTTTCCAACCCCCCTGAACATCCAACCTCAAAACACCCAAACCCCCCACCTGAAAAATCCAACCCCCTTTAAAAACCCCCTTTAAAAACTTTCCAACCCCCACCCAAAACCCCTGAACATCAAAACCTTTCCAAAAAACCCCTGAACCCCAAAACCCCCACCCCAAAAACCCCTGAAATCCAAAACCTCCACCCAACCCCCCCTTGAACACCCAAACCCCCTCCATCCCCCCTAAACACCCCAACCTCCACCCAAACTTCTGAACACCCAAACCCCCCCCTGAACTTTCCAACCCCCCCCACCCCCTAAACACCCCAAACCTCTGAAACCCAAACCCTTTTCCTGAACCACCCAAAACCTCGAACACCCAAACCCCCCTGAAACCCAAACCCCCCCTAAAAACCCCCAACCCCCAAATCCAACCCCTGAACACCCAAAAACCCTGAAATCCAACCTCCAACCCCAACCCCTGAACATCAAAACATCCCACACACCCCCCTTGAACACCCAAACCCCAATAAAAACATCCAACCTCCATTCCAAACCCCCTAAAAACACCCAAACCCCCGGGAAAATCCAACCCCCCACCCAACCTCTGACACCCAAAACCCCTGAAAAATCCAACCCCGAACACCCAAACCCTCCATCCAACCTCGGGAACATAAAACCCCCAAACACCCAAACCCCCATAAAAACCCCCTGAACACCCAAACCCTCTGAACTTTTCAAAATCCACCCCAACCCCTGAACACCCAAACCCCCTGAACACCCAAACCCCCTGAACACCCAACCCCTGAAAAACCCAAACCCCCTGAAATTTCCAACCCCTTGGAACACCCAACCCTCTGAACATCCAACCCCCTTTGAAAATCCCCCACCCCTGAACACCCAATCCCCCACCCCAACCCCTGAAATCCAACCCCCCTGAACACCCAAACCCCTCCACCCAAACCCCTGAAAAAACCCAACCCCTGAACCCCCCAACCCCCCTGAACACCCAAACCCCCTTGAAAATCAAACCTTTTGAACTTCCAAACCTTGAAATAAAAACCCCTGAACATCCAACCTCCACCCAAACCCCTGAAAAAAAACCCTCTAAACCTTCCCCAAACCTCTAAAACTTTCCAACCCTTTGAACTTCCCAACCCCCAATCCAACCCCTGAACACCCCAACCCCTAAACATCCAACCTCCATCCCTCCCTCTGAACTTCCAACCCCTAAACCCCACCCAAAACCCCCCCGAAATTCCAAACCCCATCCAACCCCTGAAATCCAACCTCCACCCAAACCTCCTGAACGCCAACCCCTTTTAAAACCCTTCCAACCCCCTGAACACCCAAAACCTCCCCCAAACCCCCCTGAACCACCCAAACCTCTAAAAATTTCCAACCCCCTGAAAACCCCCAAAACCCCCTGTAACCCACCAAACCCCCCAACCCAAAACCCCTAAAACCCCCAATACCCCCCCCGCCCCCTGAACATTCCCCCCCTTGGAAACTTTCCAAACCCCTGAACTTCCAATCTCCACCCAAACCCCTAAAACACCCAAACCCCTCTGAAACAAAAAACCCCTGAAAAACCAACCCCCCGGAAAATCCAAACCCCCTGAACTTTCCAACCCCCTGAACATCCAACCCCTGAAACACCCAAACCCCTCCATCCAAACCCCTTTAAAACTTTCCAACCCTGAAACCCCAACCCTAAAACACCCAAACCTCTGAAATCCAACCCTGAACACCCAAACCTCCCCCAAACCCCCTGAAAAAACCAACCCCTAAACCCACCCAAACCCCCTGAAACACCCAAAACCCCTGAACACCCAACCCTTCCACCCAAACCCTGAACATCCAACCCCCCTAAACACCCAAACCCCCCTGAACACCCAAAACCCTCCCACCCAAAACCCCCTGAACACCCAAACCCTTTTCCAAACCCCCCTGAACCCCCCAACCTTAAAACACCCCAAACCTCTAAAACATCCAAACCCCCCACCCAAACCCTTTCCCTTCGAACACCCAAACCCTCGAATTTCCCAAACCCCCCTGAACACCCAAACCCTAAAACCCCAAACCCCAATGAAATCCAACCCCGGAACACCCAAACCCCTAAAAATCCAACCTCTGAAACCAACCTCTGAACATAAAACCCAAAATGGTCATTTTGGGGGGTTGGGAGGGGCATTTCCCTTTGCTAGTTTTCCAAAAACTACTGGGGACACACAAATTTTCCCCGAGTGCGAAATCAGAGAAAAGGGAAAGTCCAGATTATTTGTTTGTCCTGGTGAATTTTAAAATTGTGTTCCCAAACTTAACATCTTTTTTTTTAAAGGGTAAGCGGGGTTAAATATTTGTTGGTCCCAGGGGGGTAAGTTTGACCTTGCAGAAACTTAGCAGAGTTTCTAAACAGAATAAACTTCTGTGCAGAAGCTGCAACCGTCAGTTTGAAATAGTTGCTGTTTAAACAGCAGAAAGAGCAATTAGTGGTAAAACAGTTACTAGGAAACACCTTAGCAGGTCGGTTCTGTGGAAACCTTTGTGTTGTGCAAAAGAGTTTCTGTTCATGTTTTGTAACGTCTTATGCACGAAAGTGATCTGGGTGGGTGGGGTGGGGGTTGGGATTGAGCCACCCCAGTTAGCAGACTGCAAGGAACCAACCTGCAAGTGGAGAATATCACAGTTACACAGAGGCTTTCAGTGAGCTCTGTGTCTCAGGCTCCGATTTCTAACAGACTTTTCACTGCCCCTTGCAATGCACCAGGGGACCACTAGGGGTACACGCACCCCCGGTTGGGAAACACTGCTGTAAAGTTTCAGGACTGGATCCTGTTCTCAGAAAGTCCATTTATATTGGTTTCCCCCCCCCCAGCCAAACCTTCACTGTTATCCCTGCCTGGTTTCCACGCTTCATAAGTCTTTTAAATTATTATTATTATTTTAAATTAAGGCCTTTATTGGCATTAAGATTCATTAAATGTGATTATAGTGGCATTTAAAATGCTTTATTCTAATATATATATAACAACAATTTAGCCAGATATGAGATCTAACTGGTTCTGCATATTTTCCCGTATGTTTGGAAAAGAAGCACAGAAAAGCTAGATAATGGAAAAATGCACATTTCAGCAAAAACGTCTGGAAAATTCAGGCCACGGCTGCAGCCTGTCGACGCTAAAGATGACAGAGGATTTTGCCGTATTTTATATATATATATAGATTATTTCTAAGAGCATTAAATGATAGATCCACGTTCCTGTATAACCTGTGACACGCTGCTGCCTCCCATCCAGCTTCACCACCCTGATGGTCTATAAGGTCCCCATGGAGGACGTCGGCTCGCTGGCCCGGTCTTTCTCCCAGCTGGAGAACGGTGAGCTGCTGCCTGCATCCCTGCCTGCAGCGCCGCTGCTAACCTGCATTCATTCTGCATCCTTTTCTTTTGCAGCCAAACAAACCTTCAACTTTGAGGAGTACAACTTCTCCCAGTCCACGCTGGAGCAGGTAGGTGGAGAAATGCCGTGTCTGTTAGTCTGTAAGCCTGAGCAGGGAGGTGGAGAAACGCCGCGTCTGTTAGTCTGTTAGCCTGAGCAGGAGGGTGGAGATACGCCGCGTCTGTTAGCCTGTTAGCCTGAGCAGGTAGGTGGAGAAACGCCGCGTCTGTTAGTCTGTTAGCCTGAGCAGGTAGGTGGAGAGACGCCGCGTCTGTTAGCCTGTTAGCATGAGCAGGTAGGTGGAGAAACGCCGCGTCTGTTAGCCTGTTAGCCTGAGCAGGTAGGTGGAGAAACGCAGCGTCTGTTAGTCTGAGCAGGAGGGTGGAGAAACGCCGCGTCTGTTAGCCTGAGCAGGAGGGTGGAGAAACGCCGCGTCTGTTAGCCTGTTAGCCTGAGCAGGTAGGTGGAGAAACGCCGCGTCTGTTAGCCTGTTAGCCTGAGCAGGTAGGTGGAGAAACGCAGCGTCTGTTAGCCTGTTAGTCTGAGCAGGTAGGTGGAGAAACGCCGCGTCTGTTAGTCTGAGCAGGAGGGTGGAGAAACGCCGCGTCTGTTAGCCTGTTAGCCTGAGCAGGTAGGTGGAGAAACGCCGCGTCTGTTAGTCTGTTAGCCTGAGCAGGTAGGTGGAGAAACGCTGCGTCTGTTAGTCTGTTAGTCTGAGCAGGAGGGTGGAGAAACGCCGCGTCTGTTAGCCTGTTAGCCTGAGCAGGTAGGTGGAGAAACGCCGCGTCTGTTAGTCTGTTAGCCTGAGCAGGTAGGTGGAGAAACGCCGCGTCTGTTAGCCTGTTAGCCTGAGCAGGTAGGTGGAGAAACGCCGCGTCTGTTAGCCTGTTAGCATGAGCAGGTAGGTGGAGAAACGCCGCGTCTGTTAGCCTGTTAGCCTGAGCAGGTAGGTGGAGAAACGCAGCGTCTGTTAGCCTGTTAGTCTGAGCAGGTAGGTGGAGAAACGCCGCGTCTGTTAGTCTGAGCAGGAGGGTGGAGAAACGCCGCGTCTGTTAGCCTGTTAGCCTGAGCAGGTAGGTGGAGAAACGCCGCGTCTGTTAGTCTGTTAGCCTGAGCAGGTAGGTGGAGAAACGCTGCGTCTGTTAGTCTGTTAGTCTGAGCAGGAGGGTGGAGAAACGCCGCGTCTGTTAGCCTGTTAGCCTGAGCAGGTAGGTGGAGAAACGCCGCGTCTGTTAGTCTGTTAGCCTGAGCAGGTAGGTGGAGAAACGCCGCGTCTGTTAGCCTGTTAGCCTGAGCAGGTAGGTGGAGAAACGCTGCGTCTGTTAGTCTGTTAGCCTGAGCAGGTAGGTGGAGAAACGCCGCGTCTGTTAGCCTGTTAGCATGAGCAGGTAGGTGGAGAAACGCCGCGTCTGTTAGCCTGTTAGCATGAGCAGGTAGGTGGAGAAACGCCGCGTCTGTTAGCCTGTTAGCATGAGCAGGTAGGTGGAGAAACGCCGCGTCTGTTAGCCTGTTAGTATGAGCAGGTAGGTGGAGAAACGCCGCGTCTGTTAGCCTGTTAGCATGAGCAGGTAGGTGGAGAAAGGCCGCGTCTGTTAGTCTGTAAGCCTGAGCAGGAGGGTGGAGATACGCCGCGTCTGTTAGCCTGTTAGCCTGAGCAGGTAGGTGGAGAAACGCCGCGTCTGTTAGTCTGTTAGCCTGTTAGCATGAGCAGGTAGGTGGAGAAACGCCGCGTCTGTTAGTCTGTTAGCCTGAGCAGGAGGGTGGAGATACGCCGCGTCTGTTAGCCTGTTAGCCTGAGCAGGTAGGTGGAGAAACGCCGCGTCTGTTAGTCTGTTAGCCTGAGCAGGTAGGTGGAGAAACGCCGCGTCTGTTAGCCTGTTAGCATGAGCAGGTAGGTGGAGAAACGCCACGTCTGTTAGCCTGTTAGCATGAGCAGGTAGGTGGAGAAACGCCGCGTCTGTTAGCCTGTTAGCCTGAGCAGGTAGGTGGAGAAACGCAGCGTCTGTTAGCCTGTTAGTCTGAGCAGGTGGGTGGAGAAACGCCGCGTCTGTTAGTCTGAGCAGGAGGGTGGAGAAACGCCGCGTCTGTTAGCCTGTTAGCCTGAGCAGGTAGGTGGAGAAACGCCGCGTCTGTTAGTCTGTTAGCCTGAGCAGGTAGGTGGAGAAACGCCGCGTCTGTTAGTCTGTTAGTCTGAGCAGGAGGGTGGAGAAACGCCGCGTCTGTTAGCCTGTTAGCCTGAGCAGGTAGGTGGAGAAACGCCGCGTCTGTTAGTCTGTTAGCCTGAGCAGGTAGGTGGAGAAACGCCGCGTCTGTTAGTCTGTTAGCCTGAGCAGGTAGGTGGAGAAACGCCGCGTCTGTTAGTCTGTTAGTCTGAGCAGGAGGGTGGAGAAACGCCGCGTCTGTTAGCCTGTTAGCCTGAGCAGGTAGGTGGAGAAACGCCGCGTCTGTTAGTCTGAGCAGGTAGGTGGAGAAACGCAGCGTCTGTTAGCCTGTTAGCATGAGCAGGTAGGTGGAGAAACGCCGCGTCTGTTAGCCTGTTAGCATGAGCAGGTAGGTGGAGAAACGCCACGTCTGTTAGCCTGTTAGCATGAGCAGGTAGGTGGAGAAACGCCGCGTCTGTTAGCCTGTTAGCCTGAGCAGGTAGGTGGAGAAACGCAGCGTCTGTTAGCCTGTTAGTATGAGCAGGTAGGTGGAGAAACGCCGCGTCTGTTAGTCTGAGCAGGTGGGTGGAGAAACGCCGCGTCTGTTAGTCTGAGCAGGAGGGTGGAGAAACGCCGCGTCTGTTAGCCTGTTAGCCTGAGCAGGTAGGTGGAGAAACGCCGCGTCTGTTAGTCTGTTAGCCTGAGCAGGTAGGTGGAGAAACGCCGCGTCTGTTAGTCTGTTAGTCTGAGCAGGAGGGTGGAGAAACGCCGCGTCTGTTAGCCTGTTAGCCTGAGCAGGTAGGTGGAGAAACGCCGCGTCTGTTAGTCTGTTAGCCTGAGCAGGTAGGTGGAGAAACGCCGCGTCTGTTAGTCTGTTAGCCTGAGCAGGTAGGTGGAGAAACGCCGCGTCTGTTAGTCTGTTAGTCTGAGCAGGAGGGTGGAGAAACGCCGCGTCTGTTAGCCTGTTAGCCTGAGCAGGTAGGTGGAGAAACGCCGCGTCTGTTAGTCTGAGCAGGTAGGTGGAGAAACGCAGCGTCTGTTAGCCTGTTAGCATGAGCAGGTAGGTGGAGAAACGCCGCGTCTGTTAGCCTGTTAGCATGAGCAGGTAGGTGGAGAAACGCCGCGTCTGTTAGCCTGTTAGCATGAGCAGGTAGGTGGAGAAACGCCGCGTCTGTTAGTCTGTTAGCCTGAGCAGGAGGGTGGAGAAACGCCGCGTCTGTTAGCCTGTTAGTCTGAGCAGGAGGGTGGAGGTAACCAGATGGGTTGGATTGGTGGCAGACAGCAGCTTTCACCCATGAAGCTTTGAGGGCCGTACCCTAACCACACAGCATGATGCTTCCACTGCCGTGCTGACAGCTGAGGAAGCGTCTGGATCCAGCCTAGGATGATGTGACTCCTTAATTAACATTGGAGTGCTGTTAGCTCAATGCTAGTTTGATCAAAGGTCACAGAGCGATCAGCTTTACTCAATGATGGATCAATTAATCAGAATCAATCAGGTGTTTTTATTATTTAATTTGATAAGCGGGTATTTTGATGTTTGTCCACCGATATCTGGAGGGTAGAAAACGCTCCTCCTCACGGTGCAGCATCTTTGTCTCTCAGGTGTTCCTGGAGTTTGCCAAGGAGCAGGAGAGCGAGGAGGATGTGGTGGGACCCCTCAGCACCACCTTCCAGTGGCAGCGGCTGCAGCAGGACGGCTCCACCACCCAGGCAGACAGCACGGTGCAGCAGCTCTGATCCATCCACGGCTTTCATCCCGTCCTCCCTGGAGCACGCCGCGCAGGGCGCTACTCGGCCCGCCGAAGCCCCGGCCCGTCCGCTTCCTCCTGCTGCCTCCATTCCTCACAGGGATCCGTTTCTGGGGGCGGGTTTCCTTTCGGGGTTCAGTCGGGTTTTTACGTGTTTTTATGGCATGAATTTATGGGAAAATCAAAACCGAGATCCGTCGAAACCAAAGCAGCACGTCTCTCTTAGAGCTGCTGTTCACTGTGTCATCCAGAGGGGGCGCTGCTGCGCTGCCAGACTCTGCAGCACAGCGCCCTCTGCTGTCTGCTCTGCCTGAGACGGGTGTGTCCATCCCTCCACGGCGGAGGAGGTGCTGATGCCTCCTCCAGCAGGTGTTCTGCTCCTCTGTGGATGATGCTGTAAGTTCTGTTTATCGATGGAAGCATCGTTGGTGCAATACCTTCAACAAATTGTAATTTTTTATGACATTCAGGGGGAGAGCCGCAGGCTGAAGGGAGAAAAACTTTTGTTTTCTGATCGTCTTCAGTGGATAGTTTTTTCTTTGGGTGGGGGGGGTCATGGAGGGGGGGTTTCAGCCGTTTCCTCAGAGAGTCAAACACTGATGCTGCCTTCACTTTAACGCGTTTTCTGGGATGCTCTGTTTACATGAGGATTCAGGATGCAGCCGACCTCAGAGCAGCGCTGCAGGAACGCCTGAACGTCTCCTGACCCGATCCTCTCTGCGCTTTAGCTGCTTTTATATTTGCACTGATTCTGGGAGATTTCATTTTTCAGCTTCATTTTATGCAAACTTGGTGAAATGTGTTTGGGAGGAGTTCCTCGTTTGTTTGTGTCGTGTTTGCTCTCGTGTCGTATCGGTGTTAAAAAGACAAACCTCAGTGATAAACTAACCTTCTAATATTGAATCAATAAAAGAACCTGCTGGTGGACACTTTCAATGACTTCACACAGATTATTTTATTATCATGTTCATCTTTAAGGCCTGTTATAGAAGGGGAGAAAATCACACACAAGTTTAATGAAGATTTAAAGTCAGTAAAGCAAAATATATAAAAAAAAAATGCTTATTTATTTCATAGAATTTTGTGCTTTGAATACAAACACCAGCAAAAAGTGTTGCATAAAAAGATTAAATTCAATACATGTTATATTGATGGAAAAAAAGCAACTCAAACATAAATATATAGCATATATTATCAGACATTTAACAATAGCATTAAACCATTTATATAACATGAACATCATCAATTTATCACTTTTGGCTCATCTTTATTATTCGGCTCCATTAACACATTAATTTTATTGTGATGGTTTATATAATATGGTATATTACATGATTTATAGACTTCATAATGACTATTCAATGTGATTGGCTGATTTTTTTTATTCTAAGTTAATCTACTGATGCTATGAAACAGCCAGTCTGTTGCACCCCCCCCCCTCCTCATTTGCATAATGAGGCAGAAATGCAGACAGAAATGTAAAAATGGCAGAAATAAATAAACAGCGGCGAAGAAATAACTAAGGTAAAAAATACAAAGGAAGAATAAAACAGACAAAAATATAACATGCACATAAATAAATACTTAATAATATAAGTAAATACAAAATAAAGTTGAAGATTACAAAGGAAAAAAAATAAGGTAAATATTACAAAGGCAAATAGATAAAGAAGATAATTAAAAGAGTTAAATACATTTGTCTCACTGTATAATTTAATTTCTACTTACATTTATTTGTTTATTGTATTTTTGGTGGCAATTAATTGTATGCTTATTTATTTATTGAGCATTTATTTATTTCTGTTTATATATGGCAGAGTCAGTGTTCCACAGTCTGTGTCAAAGTGATGAATTTATCTTTATTTTAAAAGTTAAATCCCCCTTAAAATGAAAACATCATGGTTGTTTGATGCTGTAGCGCAGATTGTTTACATTGAGAGCGGTCTAACTAGGGAGTACCAATATGGCGGCCGGTGGCTTCACCTCGTACTACCATCAATCCAGGGAATAAACAGAGATCAGTCATTGGGACACCCTTCCCTTCCACAGGAACTCGCTGCCAATAGAAACAGGACCGGCCCAAAGTTTGTTGGTTCCTTTACTGGTAAAAACTATAGAATTAGAAATAGATCAAAATGTGCTTTCGCCCTCAGAACACCTGCTATTTAAACACTGCTGACCATAAGAACAAACAGCAGGACACGGAGCAGGTGGACGAGCTTCAACCGCTGTGAAACCATGAAGCTAACAGCCTTCAGTAAAACACTGAATGTCTCCATGAGAGAAAATCTAAATGAATCATTCTGCTCATCTGGATCCAATAATGCAGGATGGTTTATCTCTAACTTCAGCTTATCTGCCTTTAAGACATGATTTAAAATAAACTTTAGCCGTATGAAAAAAAAATGAAAATTGCTGATTTTAAATCAAAACAGCTTTAAAAACATGATTAATAACAATGCGGTGAAATTTCACCACTGACCGCTGGTCAACAGAGGGCGCCACCCCACCCAACCAATGACCTTGATCAAGGCACCAAAGAACTAAAATTTTATGATGAAATGAAACTATTTCGAAATATATTAATATATTTTTTAAATGTGCAAGATAAATATTGAATCTTTAATGATGAGTAAAGCTGTTTGGTTCGTCGTCAGATTGGTGTCGTGTTTCTCTAGTGAGCAAAAATCATGGCATCAGTCGCTGACTGTCATTAAAAGCTGTCCATGTGCAGCAGCTCCTCTGCAATGCGAAAGGTCAGGAGAGCTCAGGGTGCAGCGGAGCTACGCCTCCTGGCAGGAGCTGTCGTCACAGCCTTGATGCGGCTAATTGACAGGCCGAATCGCAGGAGTGGAATCGCTTAATGCGAACTAACCAAGAGAAGCTGGAGGTTAAACCATTTGGACCTGATCAGCGGAACATCAGAAGGAATCATCAGTCCAAAGACAGATGGAGACGGTTCACTGGGTCCTTTTCCAGGACCTGCTTTAGCTCCAAGGCTAGGCTAACTGCATTCAGCGAGGCTAACTGCATGCAGCGTGGCTAACTGCCTGCAGCGAGGCTAACTGCCAGCGGCGAGGCCAACTGCCTGCAGCGAGGCTAACTGCCTGCAGTGAGGCTAACTGCCTGCAGCGAGGCTAACTGCGTGCAGCGAGGCTGACTGCATGCAGCGAGGCTAACTGCATGCAGCGAGGCTAACTGCCTGCAGCGAGGCTAACTGCATGCAGCGAGGCTAACTGCGTGCAGCGATGCTAACTGCCTGCAGCGAGGCTAACTGCCTGCAGCGAAGTTAACTGCGTGCAGCGAGGCTAACTGCGTGCAGCGATGCTAACTGCCTGCAGCGAGGCTAACTGCATGCAGCGAAGCTGACTGCCTGCAGCGAGGCTAACTGCGTGCAGCGAGGCTAACTGCCTGCAGCGAGGCTAACTGCGTGCAGCGATGCTAACTGCCTGCAGCGAGGCTAACTGCGTGCAGCGATGCTAACTGCCTGCAGCGAGGCTAACTGCATGCAGCGAAGCTGACTGCCTGCAGCGAGGCTAACTGGGTGCAGCGAGGCTAACTGCGTGCAGCGATGCTAACTGCCTGCAGCGAGGCTAACTGCGTGCAGCGAGGCTAACTGCGTGCAGCGATGCTAACTGCGTGCAGCGATGCTAACTGCCTGCAGCGAGGCTAACTGCATGCAGCGAAGCTGACTGCCTGCAGCGAGGCTAACTGCGTGCAGCGAGGCTAACTGCGTGCAGCGAGGCTAACTGCCTGCAGCGAGGCTAACTGCATGCAGCGAGGCTAACTGCGTGCAGCGATGCTAACTGCCTGCAGCGAGGCTAACTGCCTGCAGCGAGGCTAACTGCCTGCAGCGAGGCTAACTGCGTGCAGCGAGGCTAACTGCCTGCAGCGAGGCTAACTGCCTGCAGCGAGGCTAACTGCGTGCAGCAAGGCTAACTGCGTGCAGCGAGGCTGACTGCCTGGAGCGAGGCTAACTTCCTGCAGCGAGGCTAAGGCTTTATCCTGCTTCCCTGCCTCCTTTTCAAAGGTCAGGATCTGATCCAGATAAAGACAGCTAGGACTGATTTAAAGGATGAACAATCTGGGATTCACATGGAAAATAGTAGAATCTAGTCTACTTTTTCTAGATGTTCATTTACATAGTTGTTCTTAAGTAAACACATTCTCAGAAAATAAATAGTTTTCATATAATAAAAAATAAAAAGCTGACTAATAGCTTCTCCATCATTAAACCGGTTCATTATTTTTTTAGGTTTGTGACCCAATATGGGACAAAACACAGATTTACCTTCACAGCCTCAGGAGGACAAGATTTATGGACAGAAAGTAAACCTGGTCATGAAATTATGTTTTGGAGCCAGAAAGGCCCAGCCAGTTTTTAAAAACTCCTCTCATGATCAATTCTGGTCATTTTTAAATTGTAATAAGTTACAACGGCTCAGATTTTTCAGTGAAGTTATAATTGTTTTTACACCCTAAATTCATTAAACTCTGTCCCTTTAAGTCCAGCAGCAGATCGATATTAGAACAATATAGGAGTCATGTTAGAATAGAAATAGATTTTTACAGTTTAACCATTGATCAGGCTCTTACAGACTGATGCAACATGCATGCAGTCCAAAGTCCTGGAGCCTTGAACAGTGTGTTCCACTCCCCCATGTTTCCCAAACTAAAACCAGGCTTTGTTAGGCTGTTGGATAAAACCTGGAACTCAACATTTGATGTTTTCTCTTTTCACAAATCAGGATCTTCAGGAGGAAAACATAACGAAAATAAAAATAACATTCAACTAAAAACTCTAAAACTGTTGAAAATAAATAAACATATAGATCATTTAATTATTTTATTGTTTATAACCAAGAGGTCCTGCAAGCATCTGCAGTTACTTCAAATAAAAGTCAAAGGAGATTCTTTGGAGGACCAGAATGTTCACATTTTGGACAAAGAAGACAGGTGGTTCGAGAGGAAGGAAGCCATCTATGTTAAGGAAGAAAAACCAACCTTAAACAGAGGGGGGGGGGACTCAGCTTTCAGAAACCTCCAATGCAGCGATAGAGTTGATTCCTTCCCGCTATCATCGCAGCTCCAACCCCTTTACAGGAGAACAGAAGACCTCACCTGTTCATCCAGGCCAACTATTCCCTCTAACGACCCCCCTTTCAGAGACATAGACAGGTATGGGGCATTGCAGGCTAACAAAGAAGCTACATGACCCCCATTCCAAAGGGGGGGACCCGTTCATCCGTTTCTATTTGCATGTTTTCTAAACTAAAACCAGGCTTTGTTGGGCTGCTGGATAAAACCTGGAACTAAACGCTATTTCTGACATTTGGAATTGAAAAATCTTCCTGGATGGAAGAGAAACGTCTTCAAACTTGGAAACAAAGTTCAGAGGATTGATTTGAACTTTTCTGGACTGATTCTGATCTGGATGACGGAGAATCTTCACCAAGTTCAATGTTCTCAGTTTCTTTTCACCCCTGGCCTAAACTCTCAGAGTTGCATCTGAGCTTTGTTCTCTTCCCCGGTTTTATTCTTTAATCATTAATGTTCCCCTCTCAGTTCATCTTTTGAAATGTTTGCTTTAGAAATCCGTTATTTTTTAAATGACTTTCATCCGGACTGCCCTGATGGAAATCCTGTTGATCAATTCGGGCATCTACTGCATTTCATCACATCCAGAGATCCAGGAAAGTTCCCTTCAGGTAGCAGCAGCTTCTAAAGCCCTAATGTAACTTTATTCCATCAGGATTATGTAAATGATTCACTTCTGGTGTATAAATACAGCTTACAGTCTCCATCGGGTCACTTCCACACATCTGACCATGAAGGTGAGTTAATGGGTGAAACTAAACTGGGAGAACTGGTGAAATGTTGTGATGCTTTGGGTATTTTAACAGAACCAGAGAGTAAATTGTTGTTCTGTGTGATTCGATGAGCATCGCTGCTTTTCCTCTCAGAACCAACATGTTTTATAGTGAATAACCGGAACTCTCCTCCACTCCAGCTGCCGGCAGCAGTTTTCCTCCTGGTTCCCATCATGAGCCGCTGCTCAGACCTCGTCCTCCCTCTGGACTGCAGCGACGTTCAAAGGCAGAATACCAGTGGCGTCAACACCATCTATCCCATCGGCGCCACCTCTGCTGTCCTGATAAACCCACCGTCTGCAATGAAGCTCCTTCTCAGTGTCCTGTGGTGGAAAATATGGACGCCTGATACAGGAAGTCCACCATAAAACGGTTCCTGAAATGTTGCTCCAGCACAACATGTGGTTTATGTTTTGTGCAGGTGTTCTCTGATATGGACTCTCTTGGAGGAAAATGGACTGTAAGTATTTTAATGAGTAGTTTTCTGTTCTGGGTTCTAATTATCCCTCCATTTATCCACCATTAACCTTCTGATAATATTTGGCAGCTAAATATTTATTTGCACAATGTACCTTTTCTTTTAGTATACCTCTGAATCCCAAACCCATCTTTTTTTTTTATTTATATGTCTAACATCTGTTCCAGATGTGTTCATAATGCACCAACCTGTTCTTTAAGCTGTATTTGAATTCAGCTTTGTTGCTCCGTGCAGCGAAGGAGGTCTGGATTTAAACCCCAGCCATGGTTCTTTCTGAACAGATGCTGCTTTCTTTGTTTAAAAAAAGATGATTAAAGGTTTTAATTTGATGGATCCAGTCCAACGCCTACGCAGCTGCGCTCTCAATACAGAACAGTCTTTTTTCAGCACGACAGAACAGAGACTGGATTAACGAGCTGATTGGGAGCAGGTGTGAACAGAGCAGTCTAGAAGGGAGCTAGGGGAAAGGAGGCCAACACAAGAGGGCAGCAGAGGGCAACCAAGAAAAACCTAAGAACTCAAACGCATCCACAAAATAGGAATTAAACCAATAAAACTAGAAAACAAAGAAAAAAGTGGATCAAAGTGAAACTGAAAACTCAAAAGAAACCAGAACAAAGACCGTGACAGGTATATTTAGTGTAACTGGTTAACCCTTTCCAGGTGTTCCAGAGAAGGATGGACGGTTCAGTGAACTTCTATCGGCGCTGGGATCAGTACCGGAGTGGCTTTGGGAACGCCGCTGGGGAATACTGGCTCGGTGAGACATCAAGCAGCTTTCCTCCTCAGACCACAGACGTCAGAAAGACGAATTTCTACGTCTGACTTTCAGGTCTTGAGAGTCTCTTCCACCTCACTCAGAGGAAACGTTATGAGCTTCTGGTGGACATGGAGGACTTTGAAGGAAAAGAGGTGTATGCGCGTTACTCCAGGTTCTCCATTGGTCCTGAGTCCGACGGCTACAGACTGCATGTGTCTGGGTTTACGAACGGAGGCGCAGGTGGGTCACCGTGAAATTCAGCCAGCAGATCATTTCCCAGTAGTGAACAAGTTTAAAACGTTTTATATTTGTTAGGAAGGGTCGCCCTGCTGTTTACAGCTTTACTTTGCTTCAGATAAGACAGGTGATCACATCGGATTATTAAAAGAAAGAGAAACAGACCTGTGACACGATGCTGTGTCACCAACCTCCACTGTTGATGCTGCATGAAGTGTTATTGGTTTAAACTATTCCTGAGTGCTAAACGCGTCACAATCTTCTATCAAAGATTGGCTCCATGCACCATCGTATAACAACAAAAGCAAAGGTTGAGACCCTGAGGGAACCAACACTCTCCATCCCCGATGACATCATGTCCATGTGAACCACAGAACAGGCAGAGAGAGAAAACATTTATGCTTTTCTTCAGTAACATTTTCATGTTTCTGCAGGAGACTCTCTTACGTATCATAGTGAACAGAAGTTCGTGACATTCGACCTTCCGGAGGGAAACTGTGCCAGAGAGCACCAAGGAGCTTTCTGGTACAAAACGTGTCACTATGCCAACCCTAACGGGGCCTATCTGTGGGGCCCACACACCCTTTATCGAGCTGTTGGAGTGGAATGGTTTCACTGGAAAGGCTATGAGTATTCCCTGAAGGCCATCAGCATGAAGATCCGCCCCCTTCAGTAAATCTTTATCTCTGGTTTATTTCAGGTAGAGCTTTACCTGACTAACCTCAGCTGCTGGAAATCAAATGATTTTACTTTATGTCTTTTCTATTTTCACTGTTATTTTTTACTATTAAAAAGCCAAGCAAAGTAAATTGAATAAACTGGAGGAATTCTTGTATTTTGTAATAGTCACTTCCTGTCAGCAACTATTTCTGTGGGTGGGAGATGGCGACCTGGGCAGGAAGGGGCTAACCTCTAAGCCTGAGTGATCGTTTCTATAGAGCGTCTGGAAAGTACAAAGTGTTCACAAAACGGAGGACCTACAATTCCTCGAGCTGATTGGGTAAATCCCCATGTGGCTCCTGCCTCCATGTTTAGCTTTTAGCCAGTCACAGCAGCAATAGTGATGTTAGGCTCGACACACCTTTGACCTTTCTGAAGCAAAAGTGTCGCTGAGAAGCGTTTCAAAGCCCCTCAGTCACATGACCGCTGTGATCCAGGCCTCCTTACGTCACACTGAGTATCGAGCTTCACAGTTAATTCAAATCATGTAATCTGGACGCTTCAATACTGCAGAAATATTTAAATGCATGAAAATCACGGCTCAAAAATGTTTACTCCATTTACAGTTTTATTTTAGTTTTATTCAAAGGCAGGGAAAGACTTTTCATTTTAGGTCTAGATTAGAATTGATCCAGAATACTTTGCTTCATGCACATAGATCTAAAATAGACAGAGACACACATCTCTACACGCCGCAGTCATCCACTGATATTTATTCAGACGCCACATCTAAAAACTTATTAAATAAATAAATTGAACATCATTGATCTCACATTGGAGAAATTTATCTCTGCATTTAACAGTCATCATTTGGAGCAGTGTGGGGTTAAGGGTCTTGCTCAGGGACCCAGAGTGGCAGTCTGGGGGAGTGGGGGATCGAACTCCCAATCTCAGGATTCAAAGCATTGATGCTTTTCCTTAAATCCGATCATCTTCATCAGTCAGAACCACACAGCTATGCTAAAAGAAGGACTGTTTACACTACGCCTTTTCCACCTAAAATGCCGTCTTAGCAACAAATGTCACGTGACTGGCGGAGACTGACTGGGTAAGCAAATTGAGCGCACCTTAGACCTTAGAGAAGGCGCGCTCCATTTGTATACCCAGTTGTCCAGGAATTATATTAATATTATTAATAAGTATTTCGTGCGCACGTTAAACTCATTGCGTGGCCACGAAGTAGTATTTCGTGCGCACATTATACTTACTGCGTGGAAATACTACTTCGTGGCCACAATTAAACATTTTTTTTGACCATGTCATCAGAGGGGCTCTGTAAAAAATAAATAGAGGCTATTACACCTAAACCAGTGCAGCCATGCTAGTTTTCCTTTAGCTTTCTGCCTCTGGTTGCCATGGCGACGTCAAACACGTCCCTGCATCTCATTGGTCCAACACATTTCTGTATCAAGGTGGACGGATCTGTTGGCTCTTGGTAAGATGTATTTTTGGGGCAATTTATGTTACCATTAACACGTTGATCCCAATATAACGAATCAGACCTCATTTAAAGACTCCATTAATAAACTGGTTTCATCCAGATTCCAGAGCTAAAAACAGGAAAGATGAGCTGAGATGAAGCTGACGCTCCAGCTAAGCTAGCAACAGCTTCTAGGGGCTCCTTCTGCAACCTCTGACCAATCAATGGAGAGTCAACCAGAGGGAAGACTGTCGGTCCAAACAGCAGCTCCTCCCAGCAAATCCCAAAACTACTTGAATTTTCTCGAGCCTGAAATCCTGTTTGGGATTTTTAAAGACGTTTAGATAAACTAACAGCTGTCATGGCCAAACTTTTCATCCACAAACGCTTCCTGAGCTCAGTCATTTTCCTCCTCTGTGAGGCTGATGGACAAAAACCCAACATGTGGAACTGGATCATGTGTTTAACCCAGAGTTTATTCATTGATTTCTTTAATAAGTCCGCTTTTTTTGTTTTTTTAGATCTCCTTTTTGGCGTTTTCTCTGTCTTTGTAAAATGTGTTTTTTGTGATTTAATGTATTTCACTCTTATCTCTGCCTATGCTGGCATTATGCTTTGAACTTTAGAAACTGTTTGACAGCAGCGCTAAGATGTTCTTTCATGTCTTTATTCCAGAAGCTTTAATGTCAAAAATCTATTTTTTTTTGTATCACAGTTGGTCTAAGATTGATCTATTCTGTACAATAAATTTTAGATTTCTTTGATTGGAAAATTTTGTTAATTTCATATATTAATTTATGCTATTTACTCAAAACTTTTCACTCAGCCTGTTTGACCTGCAAGGCCACAGAATTCCAATGTGAGGATGTTTTTGCATAAGGCAAACCTTCTTCCCATAAAAAACCATGTTACTGTTTAACCAAAGTGTCATTAATTAGTCTTGACTCTGACTTCTTTCCATTATTGTTAGTAAGGAGGAACGAACGCTGCTCAGATCAGAACAGGGCTGATTACCGTGCAGTAAGGGCCATATTGTGAACCGTTCTCTCTTTGCAAAGATAAAAATAAAGCCGACTGAGTGAAATCCATCGATCTCCGTTTATTTAACCGTGGTGAATGGTTAAATACTTTTTTCTAAATACAAATAGAATTGATACGCTTTTAAAACAAGCATATAAAATAGGGTCTCCAAAGTAATAAAAAAAGCTGTGAGTTTTCTCTGCACTGAGACGCTGGGGGCGTGTCCTTAGCTTCAATGCCTTGATCTTGCAGGAACTGCCGACACACTCCAGTCTCATGAGGTCTAGCATTGGGAACCCAGGGCTAACTGCACCAGCAGATCGTCTCGCAATCTCATCTCTGTACCCAATTACAGTTCGGCTACCTCTAGGGGCACATGGAGAACCTGAAGAAATGTACCCCACACCATTACTGACCCACTGAAGGATGCAGCAGATCCCTCTCCAGACCGTCATTGTGCTCAGTGTGGCCTTGCCATCATCTGTGAAGAGCACCAGTGGTGAATTAGCCAATCCTGGTGTTCACTTGCAAATGCCCAGCATCTTACATCGTGTTGTGCTGTGAGAACAACCCCCCCCCATCTGTGGATGTGGGGCCCTCATACCATCCTCATGGAGTCCGTTTCACAACTGTGGATTGCTGGAGGTCATTGCAGGGCTCCTCCTTTCACAAGGAGGTGTGGGAGTTTCTGCATACAGCCTCCCAATGAGTCCCACCCCAAACATCGGTCTGAACTGCTGAAGTGAAGATTAATCTGCTCCTTTGCATCCTAGGGTGGTTCATTGGACCCATCCAAACTTGATGACCTGCTGAGCTACGTCTGCAGACCACTTCTACTCTTTAAACCTCACAGGAGTCATTGCAGACTTGAAGCTTTTTGCTTTTCACAGGTAGAGTAGTTTCAAAACCATCCTTTGATGGCAAAGTTTTTTTTTTTTGGACCAGAATTCTAACCGTTTACATTTAGGGTCATGTCTAAGCCTAATATAGTTATTCCTGAAATATTATTGATGGCAAACAGGAAAGCAGTTGCCTCATGTTAGCGTTACATATACTGAACCCAGCCAGCAGAGGTCACCAGAGCACAGGTTTAAAGCAGCCCAGACAGCAGTTTGGATTCAAAGGAAGGTTTTTAATCAAGAGCTCTGCAGGTAAACATCCCTACCATCTTGAATCAAACCAAATAATAATAATGGGAATAAATAATAAATAATAATGGGAATGGTAAAAAAACAAAAACAGAAAGGGATCTCCTTCCTTCCAGTAAAGAAAATAAAATATTTAACCCACACCCCAAGACACTAGTTTCTATTTATAGAGTTTCTGAATGGTGTCCCATGTAAAAGCTCCAGTCGGTTAAATACCCCTCAGCAATTATCTCACTTGGTCAACAGTTGCCCTTTTGACCCCCATGCTGGAGGGGCTCCCAGGCTGCTCTGCAGGGACTGGAATGGGATTGAAAGCCTCCGGGCTGTACTGAGAGTGAGAACTGAAGTCTCGTGCTCGCATATATCCGCGGTTTGAACGGACAACGTGGGACGATGGGTAGACGAGACGTGTTGCCATTCCTGGGGAAACATCGGAGGCCCACTGAGAGTGAAGCAGCAGATTGTTGGCGCTCTGGCTCAGCAGGTCTTCAATCATCTGATCCATTTCTGCATCGTGCAGAGCTGAACGTAGCGCATTAGATCCATCGCCAAAATCCGATCCAACCCCACTGCTGGTGTAACCAGAACCAGGATCAGAGGAAACTCCTGCAGCGAGGTCAGAACCGACACCAACTCTGTAGTCTATATTGGGCCAACCAAAACCTGGGAACAAAAGTTCAGACATCATCCTGTTAGGCCTTCAGTTAGAGATTATATCAAAGTTTATTTTACTGCCCAACATCCGTAGGTGACTACTGTGTTTCTACTCACGGTATTTTATAGGAAAACAGACTCCAATGTTGAAAAGAAGGAAAGGAATCCAGAAAATTCTGCTGAGAAAGACTCTTTCAGTTAATACACAAAATAAAAAACATCTTAACACAGGAAACAAACTCACCTGAAAACACATCGACACTCCATGTTGCACAAAGGGAACTCTGTTAAACAGAAGCCTTGATGTGTTTTATTGGTTCCTCAGCTGCATCAATTAGCCGCACCTGCTTCCTCTCAGCATCATTACTCCACCAGGCCTGATTCCAATTGGAGCCAGAAACTTTCTCACTTCCACTGTTAAAAATGGTCATGGAACCATATTAGCTACAAACAGTTAGATGTCTTAGTCTTCATTACTTGGACAGTTTCTGCAGGTGAAGCTTCTTGAGTTCCAAGTTTTTCTTTGTTTTTTTCTTCACTTTCTTTTTCACTAATTGATATAATTTATGTAAGTTACATTTTTTCCAGTTTAGAAGTTTCCCTGATCCGACTCCTCCGTAATGAAGGAAAAGCAACTCAAATTACAGCTGATGTCTTTATTTCTTACTGCAGCAAAGATGCTGAACTGTGATGATAAACTTTATTAAAGTGTTTTTGTGTTTCTTCTTCCAACATTTTGCTAATATGCTGCTTCTGGATGATATGCCTTCCACTGCTGCTTCTGATGCATCCACAGTTTGGAGCAGTTTGTTTTAAATAACTTCAGAGAGATTTCAGTTTTGCTGGAAACTGTTTCCAAGGCTGCCGTATGGGGGGGTTAGGAAGATTGTAAGGGCCTTTAACTGAGGGGGGCCACAAAAGAAGAAGAAAAGATTTGTCCTGTTATATTTTTCAAATATAAAAAGAAAATCCAGCAGTAAATAGATTATCTTGTCTTCTTCTGTATTTTTCAGCAAAACAAAGCATGAATATATATATATATATATCCCGCATCTCATCATATATTAACCAGTCAGCGAACGGCCTTGATGAACTCAAGTTGTTTTGCTTCAAGTTCTTTATGCAGGGGGTGGGTTGGTTCCCCTGTGGGGGGGGGGGGGGGGGGGGGGGGTGATTTTGTAATGTATAAATATATGAACTGAAATGCCTCAGTCGGAGCTCTATCTCTCTGTCTGAGGACGTTAAATTTGAACCTTATTTATTCCAAGAAATGCCTTTGTCTCAGCTTCCTAACTTCACAAAACTACCGGACTTTGTTTCCAAGTTTTAAAGACGTTTCTCTTCCATCCAGGAAGCTTTTTCAATCCAAAATGTCAGAAATAGTGTTTAGTTCCAGGTTTTATCCAGCAGCCCAACTAAGCCTGGTTTTAGTTTAGAAAACATGCAAATAGAAACGGATGAACGGGTCCCCCCCTTTGGAATGGGGGTCGTTTGGCTTCTTTGTTAGCCTGCAATGCCCCATACCTGTCTATGTCTCTGAAAGGGGGGTCGTTAGAGGGAATAGTTGGTCTGGCTGAACAGGTGAGGTCTGCTGTTCTCCTGTAAAGGGGTTGGAGCTGCCATGATAGCGGGAAGGAATCCCCCCCTTCTCTTTAAGGTTGGTTTTTCTTTCTTTAGTTTTATGTAAACAGTTGAATAAAACATTTTTTTTTATCTAACGGAGGCTTTGGTAACATTCAGCCCCACTATTTCACATAACCATCTTCTCTAGAATTTCCCAACATTTGTACCAACGTTGGGTTTTTACCGCATCAGTTACACAAGAAAAGGAAAAGTATCTGGAAATGATGCTCTTTCATCTGCAGGGTTGAGTAACTGCTGGATATTTAAAGCAGGTAAGAGACTCATCATTTCGGATCCTTTCTGCAGATCAGTGAACATGAAGGTAAGTTTGGAGATTAAACAGGATTCAGCAGCTTCAGGTCTGGAAATGCAATTTAAGTTTCTGTGAAACACTTAAAACACAAAACTGTCCCAATCGAGAACTTTTAACAGGATTATATTCTTATGTTGAAATGTTGCTTATTTTCCTAAAAGATCCCAGACTCTGCTTTGGTCCTGATTGTGGTTTTAACGATCAGAAAAGATCAGTAAAGTTCTCTCTCTACGGGATTAAATGAATTAAACTGTTCCTTTCTTAATGGAAACCAGTTGCTTTCGCTTCTCCTCCTGGTTCCTGTGGCGACCAGCTGCACAGACCTCAGCTATCCTCTGGACTGCAACGACATCTACAACCAAGATACCAGCCGAGCCAGTGGAGTTTACACCATCTACCCCATCGGATCCACATCTGCTGTCCAGGTAGACTCAGCCCTCCTGGAATCATCAAATAATTAGTTCATAAAACATTTCAAACACTCATTATCCTCCCTGTTAACACGTTTTAACAAATAAAATTATTGCAAACACTGAATTAGCGAAGACTCTCTGATGTGGGCGGGTTTCTGGCTGATTGATGATGCAGCTCAGAGGTCATTCAGGCTGCTGGTGCGAAACATCAGCGGCGTGCAGACGTACCTGCAGCTGCATCCATGCTGCAGGTTTGACCACCGTTCTGCTGCCCTCTGTCTGCAGGTTTACTGCGACATGGAGTCTCTGGGGGGAAAGTGGACGGTAAGGATTCTTTCCTTCAACTGCTTGTAGATTTTCTACTGAGAATCTTTGAAAATATTGAAATGATCTGATTCAAAGTCGTATGATTTAAACTGCTGCATTAGAGAAAGATCTACTGCACTGCAAAAACAAGCAATAAATAAGTACAAGTTAAGTATATTTACACTTAATCTGAGCAGGTAAATAAGATGATTGGCAGATGGAATGAGTATTTTTACTCTTAAAATAAGATTATTAGATGATATGCACTTAAAAAAGACAATTACATTATTTTTTCTTATTTTTAATGTAAATTGTTTTGTTCAATTGACAAAGTATCACACTTACCTCCTCAATTCAAGAAAAAAATGCACTTAATTTAAGAAAAAAATGGTTTATTTAAATGTCCCTGTTTGGCAGTTTGCTCCTTTATCTACTCTGTGTTTATAAAAAACTAGACAGATTGAAACACTTTAATGTATCAGCAGGTGAATATCATGTTTTCATAACATCCTGAACAGAGAATGAACTTCCAAGTGAAATTAAATACTTTATTAGGTCATTGGATAAAATAATCTAACTTCATTTACTTAAAATTATAACTTTAAAGCATTTAATATGTACTGTATATTAATCAGTCTTATTTAAAGACCTCATTCCTTAACCTGACCTTGATTGGATGTTTCCTACTGAAACCTGCAGAGAAAAAGCAGAAATCCAGCTGTTGATGAACATCTGGATCCAAAATGCAGTGGAGCTCATTGTGAGCAAATCTGGGCTGTTTTTAACGGATTGATCTTCTTCACCTTCTTCCAGGTTTTCCAGAGAAGGATGGATGGAACCGTGAACTTCTACAGACCCTGGAACCACTACAAGTTTGGCTTTGGGATTGCTGCAGGAGAGTACTGGCTTGGTGAGATGTGAAACCAGCGCCGCGGTAAAGAGGAGCCCAGAAAGCTCTGAGAGATCAGCTTCTCCGTGTTTCTGATGTTTTTAGGTCTGGAGAACATCTTCCAGCTGACTCACAGGAAGAAATCAGAGCTGCTGATCGACATGGAGGACTTTGAAGGGAAAAAAGCCTACGCTCGTTACACCGTGTTCTCCATCGGCCCAGAGTCCGACGGATACAAACTACGTCTGAGCGGATTCACCAATGGAGGCGCAGGTGGGTGACGGGCGGGGTCACCTTCTTCTGTAAGGACAAATCTTTACGAGCATAATTAATTTATATCATTTATTAAGTGGATGAAATAGAAATATAAATTTTTTCATTGCAAAATTTCTACATTGACAGAAAGGATGATAAATATTTTATTATCTGTTCCAAAAAACACGCCATAAAAAATCTATGAGATTTCATTTCATTCCAATCGATCTGCTCACAAAGTCCCAAAACAAACCGTCTCACATTTCAGCCATTATATTCAGTTTGGACTTTATTTATAATCTCACACATTTTTGTCTTTGTTTTTTTTTTTTTTTATCCGCACTTTAACGCCATAAACAGTCTGATATTTCGTTTCAAAGATGCAAAAATATACAGAAAATGATATTTTCCTCTAAAGTAAAACACTTTGAACATCTTCTGGCAACTTTATTAGCTTTCAACATAATAATCAGAATTTTCAAGTCAAAAATATTTTTAAATTGAATTAGTTGATTTTCAATAAATAATTAATTGGTGTTCTCTCTGTCTGCTATGTGACTGATGACGCTCATGTCTGTTTGGCAGCAGGAATAAGGCTTTAGTGGAGCTGGGTTGGTTTTACCTCAGACCTCAGTACAAAAACAGAAACAAGGGAGAATCGTTGAGGAGTAAAGAATAATAATCAAACATGTCTCTAACTTTAATACTTTTGATGACTTTTCTTTGAACATAATCAATATGGTTTATGGTTTATAGATACTGAACCCACCTCCAGGTAATGACTGGATTCAGGCTAAATATTCACCAAAACAAAGAAAACTTTACAGTAAATTTTCCAGAAGAAACAGTTTCTTCCACCTGTTAAAAAAAAGGAAAATCCTGAAAAAAAAAAAAAAGAAACTTCCATCTCTGGTAACAACAGACTGCTTCTGTTTCCACTTCCTGTAAAATGTTCCTTAGATGATTCCTCCACTGAATTCTGCTAAATTAAACACATATCAAGATGTTTATTTTGATTTAATGAGGCTTCAAAAAGAAGTGAAAAATAAATGGCTGCTATTTAACTTAGAGACAGTTGGGATTTGATGAGTTCTGTTACTGCACTGGAAAAAATGATCTAGAAATAAGTAAAAATGTCTTAAATTAAGCGTATTTACCCTTAATTTGAGCAGGTAAATGAGATAGTTTGCCAATGAAATGAGTGTTTTTACTCTTAAAACACAAAAATGAGATAATATGCACTTGAAATAAGACAATGCGATTGTGTTTTCTTATTTTAAATGTAAATTATCTTCCTCTGGTGGCAAAATGTTTCTCTTACCTGCTCAATCCAGGAACAAATGCAGCTATTTTAAGAAAAAAATGACTTCTCTAGATTTAGATTTTTTCCATTGTTGGTTCACAGTAAATGTACTTAATGTTCATCATTGACGTTTCCACAGAGTGTTTTATTGCTGAGGGAGATACTGGGATGGTTTCCATGGTTACTGTGTGTTTGTTTAGGGGACTCTCTGAGTCACATCAGTGGACAGAAGTTCTCCACCTTTGATAAAGATCAGGACACCTGGGAGAAGAGCTGCGCCCGCACCTTCATCGCAGGCTTCTGGTTCTCCAACTGTCACTCTGCGAACCCGAACGGTGTTTACCGCTGGGGAGCCGACGACTCGCTTTACGCCATCGGACTGGAGTGGATCACCTGGAAGGGGCGGGGCTATTCCCTTAAGGCCATCAGCATGAAGATCCGCCCCGTCCAGTGAGGCCTGAATGTCATCAGTTTGGCTTCCAGGTTTTTAGATTGAGGAGAAGCAGCAGGTTGAACCAAACGATCACTTCATCCTGTAGCATCATTAGAAATGATCAATGTTCTGCCTCTGTGACGTCAGCAGGTTAAACTCTGTAAGCATCATGATGATGATGATGATGATTTATCAGCCTGATGTTCAGAGCAGATCCACCAAATTAATTTGTTTTTTTTAATGTTTATTTACTTTGTTGACAGAGAAACTGTAATACTTTGATAGATGACACCATTAAAGTTTCCCACTTCTCCTCATTTCTATTATTTACTGAACTGGTTTATTATTGAACAGACCAGTGATTCCCATGGAGGATTTTACACGCTGCCGTCGCCACAAACTGGTTATTAATCAGAGTGTTTTAAACTAGTGTCCTTCCTGCGGTCTCCGATTATTCCATGTTTTTATAGAATGAACAAAACAAGGTTTTTACAAACACTCTGTTTATAGGAGGAGTTTGTCAGAATAGGAGAAATGAGCCAAAGGGAGACTTTTAAATGTTTCAATGAGAGAAGCAAAGATGGCGGTTTGTTGTCCCTCAGAGACGGACTGCAGGAGCTCAGCTTGATGCTGCAGCTCTGAGGAGGTTAAAGCAGAATAAAGCTGGAGTTTAACTTCCACAGAGAAACAGAACATGGAGGATTTATGCAGCTGTGGGGTTTTAACAACATTTTATATCCTGGGTCAGATGAACTGCAGTTTAACGAACTCCTCATTTAATGATTGCTTATTAAACCCTCAGTCCACTGAGGACTCAGCGTTTTTGTAGGTAGAGTTGATCAAAGATGAAAGTCTGCAGATTTAAAACAGATTTACAAAAAATTCAGAGCACTGGTTTATAAAATGATAAATGATTTAACATGAAGGATTGTTTTTCATGTTAAATTGCGGTTTTAATCATTTAAACATTATGCAGAAATAATAATTCATAGCTTCTGAACTTTTGAATCTGAGCAATTAGATCTAAAGTAGGAGAGTTTATGTTAGTAAGGAAATAAACTTTAACTCCAGCTGCAAATCTCACACTGTTTTTATCTGATTAATGCAAAACGATGCAAACCAACGTCACCCTGCAGAGAAAGGGTGTATATATACACTATATTGCCAAAAGTATTTGCTCACCTGCCTTGACTCACATATGAGCTTAAGTGACATCCCGTTCCTAATCCATAGGGTTCAATATGACGTCGGTCCACCCTTTGCAGCTAGAACAGCTTCAACTCTTCTGGGAAGGCTGTCCACAAGGTTTAGGAGTGTGTTTATGGGAATTTTTGACCATTCTTCCAGAAGCGCATTTGTGAGGTCGCACACTGATGTTGGACGAGAAGGCCTGGCTCTCAGTCTCCGCTCTAATTCATCCCAAAGGTGTTCTATCGGGTTGAGGTCAGGACTCTGTGCAGGCCAGTCAAGTTCATCCACACCAGACTCTGTCATCCATGTCTTTATGGACCTTGCTTTGTGCACTGGTGCACAGTCATGTTGGAAGAGGAAGGGGCCAGCTCCAAACTGTTCCCACAAAGTTGGGAGCATGGAATTGTCCAAAATGTCTTGGTATGCTGAAGCATTCAGAGTTCCTTTCACTGGAACTAAGGGGCCAAGCCCAGCTCCTGAAAAACAACCCCACACCATAATCCCCCCTCCACCAAACTTTACACTTGGCACAATGCAGTCAGACAAGTACCGTTCTCCTGGCAACCGCCAAACCCAGACCCGTCCATCAGATTGCCAGATGGAGAAGCGCGATTCGTCACTCCAGAGAACGCGTCTCCACTGCTCTAGAGTCCAGTGGCGGCGTGCTTTACACCACCGCATCCGACGCTTTGCATTGCACTTGGTGATGTATGGCTTGGATGCAGCTGCTCGACCATGGAAACCCATTCCATGAAGCTCTCTGCGCACTGTTCTTGAGCTAATCTGAAGGCCACATGAAGTTTGGAGGTCTGTAGTGATTGACTCTGCAGAAAGTTGGCGACCTCTTCGCACTATGCGCGTCAGCATCCGCTGACCCCGCTCCGTCAGTTTACGTGGCCTACCACTTCGTGGCTGAGTTGCTGTCGTTCCCAAACACTTCCATTTTCTTATAATACAGCTGACAGTTGACTGTGGAATATTTAGGAGCGAGGAAATTTCACGACTGGATTTGTTGCACAGGTGGCATCCTATCACAGTTCCACGCTGGAATTCACTGAGCTCCTGAGAGCGACCCATTCTTTCACAAATGTTTGTAAAAACAGTCTGCATGCCTAGGTGCTTGAATTTATACACCTGTGGCCATGGAAGTGATTGGAACACCTGATTCCAATAATTTGGATGGGTGAGCAAATACTTTTGGCAATATAGTGTATATATATATATATATATATATATATATATATATATATATATATATATATATATAATGTGTGTATATGTATTTCTTTCTATATGTATTTCTTTCTGATTGTTTCCTCCAGTTTCTCCTGCATCTCTGCTCTGCCTCTCCTGAAATGACATGAATAACTGGAGAATTTGGGGTGAAACAAGATTTAAAACACATAGTTGAACAATATATATAATCACATTCATAGATTGTATTTTTTTCCTATAACATATAACAATAATATGTTTTATTTATCAGCAGTTCCTCTTAACATCCACCTGATTCTGTGCAATTCTCGCCTATTTTGCATCTCCAAATGGGAAAGCAAATAACTTAGTAAACCCAAATGACATGTGCAATACATTATTTGAAAGCTAACACCCTCTAGTTTCTAAATATATAAATTAAATAATAAAGATGTGAGTAGAACACAGACCAACCTGCATCAGTTAAAACATGACTCAAAGTTGTTGTTTTTTATTCTCGGAAATGATACATCTTTTTTGAACAGCAGTAATAAAGATATTCTTGAGAGGTTTAATTTTATTATATTTGATCTACATCATGTCAACCTCAAATGCAGAAAAAGTCAGACCTCTGGCTAAAACAGTTCCAGAGCTGTGGAACCGTTTCCGATAGTCAGAAATAGAGTTGATTATAAAGTTTGAATTGAAAAAGCTTCCTGGATGGGAAGAGAAAAGTCTGCAAACTTCCAGTCCGGTGGATTGATTTTTAAAATCTTTGGACTGACTCTGACCTGGATGACTGAGAATCTTCTCCTGCATGATGGATTATTGTTTAGATTTTTTTAATCTGTTGCAAAGGTAAAGGCACATTGTGCACAAAAGGCAATATATAGAGGATTTGTTATAGATCTATTTTCACTAGTGGCACGGAGCGGTGGCTGGACCTGTCTATGATGGGAACAGATTGTGTCCTGTTTGGGAAGTTTCCGGGTCTGTTGGTGAATCCGTATTCCTGGTAGCTCCAGTGTTTCTCTGGCTGCAACACGGAGCACTGCTGGGTATCTAACTGACTTCCACAGCAGCGCCAGTAACGATGCAGGACATCAATAAACTACATTCTGATCTTTCTACATGAAGAAGAACCAGTCATCGGGTCCGACGGTCCTGAAACTCCCCCACAGCAGGCAGCACTGACATGCTAACCGACCTTCCCTACTTTTATTGCCAGGATGTTAAATATGTTATTTTCTTCTGTACTCGAATGTCTTATAAAGTCCAAACATGACGTTGCGAAAACGGCAATAAAATGCTGGTCTGGTTTACAAGTCTTGACTCTAAGCATCAACACATGACTAGTGTTTGGAGAACAGATGGGACTGTTTACCTTCCTCGGAAACATAGTCAGTGTGTTATTTATGAAATAACCATCATCCAACTGAAGGTTGTAGAGAACATTTCAGAGGATTAACCTTTTAGAGGCAGATTTTACAGAAAGGTCAGATTCAACCTTAACAATGGCGTTAAATTAAAACCAGCGTTAATCAGCCGGTAGGAAGGGGTGGATCGGGCACAGACCGTCCCCAAACCCTCCATGGTCTGAACTAAGGTCCAGCGCTCTGAACGGCCTCACTGCCACAATCAGCCTTTAAAGTCTTCAGTTCCTGCTGGGTGGTGCTTTGGTTTCCTGATGAGGACTCCCGCTTCTGGCCTTCATCCTTTCTACAGGGTAGAAGCTCCAGCAGTGCCTTCCGGAACATCGAGCTGGAGAAGACGTAGACGATGGGGTCCAGAGCCGAGTTCAGGAAGTTCAGACCCAAAGACACAATGGTGAGCTGAGTAAAGGTGTAGAAGGCAGTGCAGTCCCATGGTCGGAACGAGCGGATGACCCACACGCCGATGGTGGTGACCGTGGTGGGAAGGAAGCAGATGATGAACACAGCCACGATGGCGGCACACATCCTCATGGCCTTCCGCACCTTCTCAGGTTTCCCCATCTGCCTCTGCTTCAGGAAGCAGGAGATCCGGACGGAGCAGAACAGCAGCATGGCCATGGGGACGATGAACTCCAGCACCGTCAGTATGCGGTGCATGCCGACCAGGATGATGATTGAACGGGACGCCTCCTTATAGGACGTGAAGAAGAAGCACTGGGTCTTCTCTCCGCTGCCCTTGATGTGGTTGAAGGCCAGCATGGGAACCCGAGGACTGATCACCAACAGCCAGACCAACACTGAGACAAAAGCAGCCTGTCGCTTGGTCATACGGTTGAAGCGATGATGAGAGTGGACTATCTGGGGAAGAAAAGACATGGATCTCATTGGTGTTCATGTTTTCAACCTTTCCTTGTTGTGCTTTGACAGGTTCTGGCCATCTGGGTTCTATTTTGGCCATCTGGGTTTTAAAGTAAAACCAGAATCTGTTTTCAATATAGAGATTCAAACTCATGTTAAATGTGATCCTCAAGAGGCAGAAAATAGGAGCAGAAGGAGAGAATCGCTCAGGGTGGCGTTCCTGCAGGAAACCCCCTAAAAGGCGCTACAGTAATGAGCTTTGAAAAGTCGTTTCTGTTGTTCCTCACCTTGAAGTAGCGGTAAATTGCCACAACGGTCATGAGTGCAATGCTGGCAGATCGGTTGGAAAACATCAGGAAGAGGTTTATCCGGCACATGCCATCTCCAAACACCCAATGGCCTCTGAGCAAGGCATCGATCCTCAGCGGCAGACTCACCAGGGCAAAGAAGTCAGCAATAACCAGGTTAAAGAGGAACAGGGTGTTTGGGTTCCAGGCCTTCAGCTTAAAGCAGAAGATCCAAAGTGCCACAATGTTTCCCATGAATCCCAGTATAACGTCGATGATCAGGACTGGAGGCATGATGAGGCCTTCCAGCTGGATGCCAACAGGAGGGCAGCCGCCGCCTCCACGGGCAGACGTTAGCGGGTTGGAAACTGTGGTGAAGTTTGAGTCTGGAGGCATTTTTCAAACGAGGACAGCCTGAAGGGAAGAAAAGTTATAGAAGAAATAAAAAGATTTACTGATAAACACATCTGTGGAGTCAGTGATTCATGAATAATGAAGCAAATATGTTGGGATCTGGAGGTCTGTCCACTTTCTCCACCAGAGGGCGTACGAGATCTCCTGGACCCGGAGCTGATTGCACCACCTGTCTCTCATCTGCTCATCAGGAGATCCGTATTTAAGGAGGCGGAGGGCTTCACTCCGGTGCCAGAGTGTTTGCCAGTAACGGTTAGCAAGCCTGAGCCAACCAGCCTGTCTGAAAACTCTGACTCCTTGAGAACCTGAACCTGATCTGTTTTCTCCTCTCTGCTTCCTAGACTGAACCTGCCTGAAACCTGAAACCCGAAACCCGGAAGAGTTTCTCTGCCGGTGATCTGCCTGTCCGTTCTCTGAAGATACTGGAAGGAAACTCTAATCAGTGATCTGCCCGCACTCATTAAGCTCTGCCTCCGCCTCCGCCCTCAGCCTGCTGACAGCCTCTGGTCCCTCAAGGTTCCCCCCCTCAGCTGCTCTGCTCCACTCCAGACAGGTACAGCCCTGCACAGTCTCAACCTGCAAACTACCTGGACCTCCGCTTCCTCCTCTGCAGTGAACCCACTCGTGACCAGACGAGTTCCCCACTGGAGCTGATCATTTAACCTGTACATTCATCTTTTAATAAACCTTTGAACTTTTCTCCTGCCTCTGAGTGTTCTGCATGTGGGTTAGACACGTTAAACCAAACATGACAAATTAACCCAAATGAATCAACAAAGGAAAGTTTAGAAAATGAGGAAATCTACAGCTTCCTCTTTCGCCTCCTTCCTCTTTCCTCTAATTTCAGAAAATCGCCCAAAACAACTTTTGGTCTTTTTCAAGTGGATCAGAAAAACTAAAAAAAAAAAGATCTGCAGATAAAAACTATTCAAATGATAAAAATGACAAATAGTGCCAATAGTTACGGTATCAATTTAAAGATTAGGAAAAAGTAATGAAATATTGATAGTAGAAGCTCTCAGAGAGGAGAACCCCAACCAGCAGCAAGTCCTGCCCTATACTGTGACTTCCAGCTGTGGCGTAGAACATCTGGATCATTAAATCAATCCTTCTTTAGACTGAGGAGAACACATGAAAAAAAAAAGAAATCATTACAATCTGTTCATAAGTTTTCAGTTCATCCTCCTTTTCTGATGTTTTTGTCTTCAGTAAAAAATCCTGCAGACTTTTTTAATCCGATGCTTCATTGAGGAACTGCTTGTTCTGTCGCAATGCTGAACAAAATCCCTGGAATATTTTTTTTTCCAGATTATCATTTGGATCCTACCGAGGACGAAAAAAAAGTTAACCGATTTTTCAATATTATTTCAATTTAATTTGGGAAAACAGTCAGAAATCTGACTTTAATCTGATAATTCTGATTTAATTCTGACAGCTAACAAATGTTAGCACCAGGCTGTAGCCATTTCTAGAGACTAACCAAGCTTTCATGTTTTAATCACCTTCTGTTCTTTCATTTATTAAAAAGCACGAAAAAACTCGCCTAATTCCATCATTTTCCACCAAAGTGTTCCTGTTCCTCCCAAATAACTCACATCTCTGTCAGTGAGTCTCCACATCTCTGCCTTCATGGCGCCCATCTACATTAAGATCCACAATTCTCAGATTAAAGGCAGAATTCTGGCCTTTTTCACATATTAAACTGAAGTAAAATTCATTAATTTTTAACATTTTTTAGTGGTCCTAATCCTCTTCTGTAGGATCGTCACCAACATTGAATCTGTGGAACAAAATGTCATTAAAATCCGTCCATAACTTTTAAAGTTATCCTGTAAACAGAGAAACTCTCCTACAAACACACCCTCTGCAGACGAGAAGATGGATAATTTAATTAAAAACATTTTAAGGGTATTCAGGCTGCGCAGTGGTTAATGCGCATGACCCGCGTACGGAGGCCCTAGTCCTTGACGCAGCCGACCCGGGTTCGAATCCAACCTCTGATAGTTTGCCGCATGTCTCTCATCCCCCCCTTTCCTGTCAGCCTGCTGTTGAAAAAAATGAGCTACTAGTGCCGTAAAAACTAAAAAAAACAACATATTAAAGTTTAAAATCAAACCATATACATATAATTTATACATCTTCTTTATATTATATATTAATATCTATATCAATAAATGTAAAAGCAAATGATTTGTCTGAGAATGCATCATGATGGCTTACAGCCTTCCACCACATTAGTGGTGAAAGTATTAGTGCCCCCCCCCACAGTGATAAAGTTAGACTGTTTGTTTCCATTGAATTAGAGAAGATTAGATTAATCCACGACTCACCAGAGGAAGAGTTTCATTCATAAAGAGCTGCAGGAAGAAGTGGACGCATGAATGACCTTCATGGGTGTATTTATAGCTTCACCGGGGGGGGGGGGGCGTTCCCATCCGATTACATCACTGCTTCGCTTACGAGGCGTAGAATAACAAGTCTGAGTAAAAAAAAATATATTTTAAAGAAGCTTCAAACCTCAACCACAGGCAGGAAAACCATCATCCTGCTTACAAATGAACAGAAGTCTGGAAAACATGATGCTAAGAGAAGAAATTTAGATTCTAATTAGTAATAATAATTAATATTATTATTATTATTATTGAACTTTATTGATCTAACAATGGAGAAATTCCCTCTCTGCATTTAACCCCTCCCCTTGGGGAGCAGTGAGGGGTTAAGGGACCCAGAGCGGCGGTCTGTGGGAGTGGGTTTCCAACTCAGAACCTCTGGATTCCAGGCTCTATGCCCTAATCACCAGATCACCCCCCCTCCCCCCCCCCCAAAAAAAAAATAAAATAATATAAAATAAATAAATAATCCTTTAGACATTCATAAAAAACAGCAGGACAAAAACAGATTTCATGAATTACTGTAAAACCTGATTAATTTTATGTTCTGATTGTATTTAATATCGCTTTATGATCATTATCACAACATAATGAAGAAAAATGCCGTAGATTAAAAAAAAAGTATCCAGAGAAAATGTCACTAAATACAAAGACAGGTAAGATTTAAAATGATTTAAAATGATTTTAAATGGAAGCACATCATTATTCTTGTTATTTTGATATCTGATGGTTCCTGCAGAATTATCCTCATTTTATACTGTGTTTATTTTTCTGTTTAATATTTTTTATTAGTTTTTATCTTTTCACCTGTTTTTGCTGTCAATCAAAAGAAAAATTATCTAATATGATGAAATAAGTGAACACAGGCCCATACAACCAGGGGCGGATTTAGGAAATGTGGGGCCCTAGGCAAAGACAGGGAAGGGGCCCTCTGAATTAAATATTATCAGCGTTCTGATGGCATTTTAGCAAAAGGATTTTTATCAAAAACATCATTAATGTGCAGAAATAAGGAATAGTTGCATTAACCATACATGGAAACAGAGTTTTATGGGGCCCCCAGGAACTTGGGGCCCTAGGCGACCTAGTGCCTAGTATTGCCTAATAGTAAATACCCCCCCCCCCCCATATAACACAAACCAACCCAATATAGACTAGAAACTAGAGGATATGATAAAGATCTGTTGATCCATGGAAGATAAATAAGGATGTTTGGGGTTTTCCAGCCTTCCTGTCTCTGAGTTTAGGGACAGTTTCCCGTTTGCTGAAATCGTTGAGTTTTCGTGTCTGATTGGGGTCAAAGTTTAACTGGCACAGGGTGAGGAAACCAGTTCAACTTTCTGGGAGATATTTCCAAATGATTGAGGAAGTTTGAAAGAACATGATTGCTAATCTGAGCGATGAGTCAACGGGTTGACTCAACTAACCGGAATCTTAAGATCCTGTTTGCAAATAAAAACACCCTGATTTATTTATTAAGATTAAATGTTATTGATAATGACGTCGATAAATAAGTCGGCTTCACTCTGAAGAACCAGCAGGTGTCTCTCTGCTGCTTTTCATCTGATCCATTTCTATTCTTATATGGAAATAGAGACGTTTGATATTAATGCATCAGAAAGAATATCTAATTACCTCAGATTGTTTTGCTGTTAATTGTTTAATTTTAGTTTACTGGTTCTTTTGTTATAATGTTATTAAAATATAACAATAATAAACATTATTAAAACATTCTGACTGCAGAGCTGTTCCACTCTGGAGGAACAGAGACTGATCGACATATTCTTCTAAATATTTGGTTTTTATTGTTGTTTTTTAATTGACTGAGTTGTTGTGTTAAACGTTTGCGTATCGCTGTTTGCTGAGCCTCCAGATGTTCCTACAAATAAAGACCCTTTGAATCCCTGTGAGGAAATAGCTCCACCTTGTTTTATCTTCTATGTCTCAGAACAGAGGGACCCAGAAAATTAGAGAGTGTTTAGCTAAAGGTCCAGAGGAGGATCTTTTATTTCTGGGTGGATCATCTCAATCAGTGGTCCTCCTAACTGTCAATCATTCTGGGGATACGTTTAAGGCCGTCCTATGTGCTCGTCCCGTTAGCTAGCTTTTTCAGGCGTATATCTGTGTGAGCTACAGTTTTACACAGTCATTGAAGCTTTCTCACAGCGGTTCTTTGAAAATGGCCGAATCCTCCACAATACCTTAAGGAACAACGGATGGTTAGCGGATCTGCAGCAGCAGCAGCTAGGGCGTCCTCGGCAGAGGAGGCATAGATTAGTGACCATGGAAACGTGATGGAGGATGATCTGAATGCGTGAGTCACTAACCTGGATAGTGAAAAACCTTTTCAGTTTTACTTTGCTCCATGTTTTCTAATTTTAGTGGTTTCATTCTTATTTTGTTGTCGTTTCTGGTTATTTTTCAGGTTTTTATTTGTTGCCCTCTGCTGCCCTCTTGTGTTCTCCTTTTTCCCTAGCTCCTTTCCTGTCTGCTCTGTTCGCACCTGCTCCCAATCTGCTCCTTAGTCCTCTCTTTGTTCTGTCTCCCATAAATACACTCTTTGTGCAGTTCCTCGTCTAACTTCGTCCAACTCCCTCTCACTTTTTTTCCTCTCCACTGTCGCTTCATGCTTGCTCATCATGGACAGGTTCTCTCAACCTGTGTTATCCAGCTGGACTTCCATCTTCCAGGTCCCTGAGTGAAGCTCTAGTATCAGCTCATGCAGTCCACTGGATCTCCCCATAAAGCTCAGCAGACCGTCTCTCCAACCAGCAGTCTACAGACTGACCAACTCCATCTATCTCCACTCCACCAGCAGTTTCAGGCCTGGGGGGGAAATGGCCCTGCTCTTTACTCCTGTTCATGCATATCTATCAAAATTCAGCGCTATGTTTCCTGCCGTGGTCTGAGCGCCAAAGACAAAGTAATTGTATCTATGAATTTCCTCTAATTGTCTTTTCTCTCAGTGTGAGTTTTCCAGATTGAAACGGTAACAGTGTCACTTTTAACTTTGCATCATCTTGAAAAACGATTTATTTTGGTTTGTAGGTGAGCAACAAGTTGGGGCAGCACCGAGTCCAAACACCGATAAATTAACTGTCTGGATGAAACTAATTATTTTGATGTTTTTATTTTATTTTAAATACCAACGGGTCATAATGAAAATGAGCTTAAATGAAGCAAAACTAGTGAGTGTATTTTTAAAATCTAAGGAGTAGAAAGTTTGTTAAAGTAATTATTCCAGTAGAGTACAGAGAGCCAACCTTTCCAGTGATGTAATGAAGTATTTCTACTTTTTGACTTTCCACCTTTTTCCGCAGGTGAGGCTCATCCAGCTGCTGACATCCTGAGGTTCCTGGTTTAGCAGCTGTTTGTTCATAAGGAGCCCTAATCTGGCATAATGAGCCTCATTCCCTGCAGTTAATCCCATCAGCGGTGCTCAGCGGCTCCTCGGTGGGAGACACAGTCTGAGTTTGCTGACTGCAGCTTCGCTTTAAAGACGTTAAGCTCTTTGCGCTCCCGCAGCTTCTCTGCTTTAAACCGCGTCCTCTGAGCGCTGCGTGCGCGCGTGCGGCGCGCGCGCAGGGCCATCTCAGTGACGGACGGGTATCAGGCTGGATTAGAGGGAAAGGAAAGCGCGTCTCTCCATGTCGGGGTGGATTTCCATGGCTGTGCGCTCCGCTCGGGTTGAAGCGCCGCTGCCCCCCTCCTCTGAGGACAGCCTGCGTGTCTGTGCGTGAGAAGCGGAGCGGGTTTTTATGTGCGTGGACAGAAATTTGGTCTCTGTCACTCCGGGCTGCGATGCCATTCCTCCCACAGGGACCTGAGCGCCTTGATGGGTTATCTCTGCTTTACTGGTGAGTCCCGCCCTCACCCCCTCCCTCCGCCCCCCCCCCCCCCTGTCTGATGCTCCCCTGACGTGGGTGATCGTGGGGTCTCCATGTGGGTCACCCTGCAGACCGACCAGCGACAGATGCTCTTCACTTTAAGCCCGCATGCTTGTGCGCAGTTCTGGGTCACGCACGTTTTAAAGGACGCAGCGTGTTTGTCATCTGGTTTGGAGCAGAAAGCTGTTTTTCCTGCTTCATTTTAAAAGAAATGATCCTAAAAGAGCTTCTGCTGCAGCCAGAGGCTCAGAAAGGCTGAACGGATCAAAGATGTGAAAATATTCTGATGTCAGGAAGCTTCAGTTTCCATGAAGAATCATTTTGCTGCTTTTTAGACTCAAACTTAATGATATAGAATATATAGAATCACCTTTAACTTTAGTTTTGTGTTGAGCTGCTGTCATCTTGGTAACCAGAGGTTTAAAAGTGTTTATATAAATCCTGCTGTTTAAAAACACTTTTTAGAAGTTAGAAGATCAAAAGTACAATTTTTAAAACTACTTAAAGTATAAAACTAATACAGGTAAAACTGTTAATGCCAGCAGCTTTCCTGCTCTGCTCTATTAAAGGAACATTTTTCTACAATTCTGGATGAAAACTTCCTCAGACTTCATTTTCTTAGTTTTATAACTAATGTTAACAGCGTCACATTTAACTTTGCATCATCTGGAAAAACGATTTATTTTGTTTGTAGTGAGCAACAGGTTGGGGCAGCACCGAGTCCAACCACAGAGAAATTAATTGTCTGGATGAAACAAATTATTTTTGGAAGTTTTTATTTTATTTAAATTCCAACAGGCCAGAATGAAAATGAGCTTAAATGAAACTAAACTAGTGAGTCTATTTTGAAAATGTAAGGAGTAGAAAGTTTTGTAAAAGTAATTACTAAACTAAAGTATAGATAGCCAACATTTCTACTTCAGGTAACAAAGTATTTGTACTTTGTTACTCTGCTGGTTAATCCATGGAAATAGTTTTTTTTCTTTCACTGTCCGAGTGAACAACTGTTTTCCCTCTTCCTCGTTATTTTTGCAATAAAGAGGTTTGGAAGGTTTCCTTCTTCTCACAAATATTTGACGTACCATCAAACATGTTGACCTGTGGTAGGAAGCGGGAGTACCCAGAGAGGACCCATGCATGTACAGGGAGAACATGCTGTCTTCATGCAGAAAGACCAGAGTCCAGGAATCCAACTCAGCACAGTAGCGGTGCTACGAGCTGCTCCACCCTGCAGCTCCCGCATTAAAAACCAGTTTCTTCTTTTAACCTGGTAAACAGGTTAAAATGGAGGGTGTAGATAAATAATGAAAGAAACGCAGTCAGTTCATCTGAGGAGTCAAATGCTTGGATGAACAGGATGTGCTTTTATTAGCAGATAGAATTACCAAGCTGCAGCTTCCTTAGTAGTTAGAGGATATTATGCTACATTCAGACCGATAGCAGCAGAGGCAGCAGAAGCAGCTGGTAGCCATGAAAAGTTGAAGGTTGATGCGCATCAATCAAGATTTTATTGTGGGCTGAGAACGCGCCAGGAGTGAGGGAACAATGGCGCTTATACTTTAAGTCAATAGATGCAGTTTACAACCAGATCAGACATTGTCTGCGGGCCCCCGGCCAGCTCGGGGCCCCAGGCAATTGCTTGGTCTGCTTGCATGGTTGCAACGGACCTGTTTCCATCCAAAGTACCACTGGTTCCCATCCTGGAGAAAACTGTGTTTTAACAAAGCTACTGCTTTAGTTCCCTTTCTAGCTTCATAAAATCCACGTTGAGCATGGAGGACGTCTGAGAGACGCTTAAGAGTCTGCTTTATTCATTTATTTATTTGTTGTTTTTTATGTTGGAGTTTCCAGCATTTCAAGGCTCTCTAAATCCATATTTATTTTTCAAACTTTAATGTTTTTTTAATGTAAACTGTTTTTTGTTTAGTGATTTTATGAAAAGTTTGATCATTTCCCATTTTTTCATCAAATTGTAAAAGAAAATTACTTTTGTTTAATGTATTATTAACAGTTTTTAATCAAACAAATTAACATAAATTTGGAACCAAATCTAGAAAAGAGAATTAGAGCAGCAGGGGCGGATTTAGGATATTTGGGTCCCTTTTCAAAGACAGGCAGGGGCCCCCTGAATTGAGAAAGCAATACATAAAACTTAAAAAAAAAAATTCTATAAAAAAATATCTGGAATAGTTATACAGTATTTTAAATAAAAAAAAAAACCTAAATAATTGATTCCTGGTCGTTTGTAGCAAATGCTAACAAAATTGAAAACTTTAAATTTTAAAATGAAAAGGTTTAGTGGAGGATGTTCTTTTTCTGGGTGGATCATCTAAATCAGTGGTGCTCTTAACTGTCAATCATTCTGGTGATTGTTAACGTAAGGCCGTCCTACGCGCTCGTCCCTATTTCCACCTACCGCTGGTGAGTCTGACACAGTGGAAAATAGGAAATCTTCTTTTGGAAGCTAAGCTGCTATGATCGATGCAAACAGCAACTTTTAAACAGCATGCACGAGGAGAAATGGGCTCGTGCACGAGGAGAAATGGCTTGTGCACCAGGAGAACTGGGCTCGTGCACGCTCTTGTGCACATTTGATAGGCGTTCTCTCTCGGGAGCAGGTAAAGGGTTGTGCTTTTTTTTTTAAGTGGTGAGGTCTTTTCAAAAATTCGTGAAAATCCTCCACAATACCAATAAGGTAAATAAATACTTATTAATATTGGATACTTTGACAGTTTAGTACTCACTAGTTGTTTGCTGCTGCTGCTGTCGGTCACTTTCTGGCCAGATTTATCAGTCGGTCACTTTCTGTAACTTTGAGCAGGTTTCTGCTGTCCTCCTTCTTTCTCCTATTTTCTGCACCGCTAGTTTAGCTTCTTTTCATCTCTCGTCTTCTATTCTCTGCTCGTCTAATCTCTTTGCATGGTTTGTTTTCAAATGGTTTGCTGCTGTCTGTTTGGACCTTTCTGAACATGTGCAACAAATGGACTGATCCAATATGGTGGACACTGAAGGGGGGGGCTGAGACACACTTAATATTATCAGCGTTCTGATGGCATTTTATCCAAAGGATTTTTATCAAAAACATAATTAATGTGAACAAATCAGGAATAGTTGTATTAACCATACATGGAAACAGAGTGTTATGGGGCCCCCAGGAACTTGGGGCCCCAGGCAGCTGCCTAGTATTGCCTAATGGTAAATCCGTTGAGCCTCACATTTCAGGTTGGTGTTCAGAGAAAACACGCCTCGCCCTGGATGAGCTGATCAGATCTCTGCTCTTGGTCAGGATCCGCACTGATTTGGGGAAGATTTTTTGGGAAAGTTTTGTTCTAACATTTGAGTTTTTGGGGGATTTAAAGTTTAATTCCAGCTGAAAAGAAGCGGTGAAGATCATCACCACACAGAATATATTTCCTGCTATTAAAAAAAGCTTTAACTGCTGATGCAAACAAAGAGCAAGCAGACCCATGAGATCAAGTTGCCATGGAAACATTTTTACCAACCGACGTCCATTTAAACGAGTTCTTTGTTGTTTTACGGCTTGTTTTATGTTTCTGCTCTAGAAACATTAAAAAGATACTAAATCGATTGAAGTCCAATTATAAACAGGATTAGCCTAATGAAGTAATGAAGCTGAACTAAACTGATCTCCTAATCTCTGCTTGCTGCTGAAGCATCTGAGCAGCCTTTCTAGAACTTCCTCCCAGTGGTTTCCTGGAGCGGCTCGGCCGCCATGCTTGATAAATATGAAGGCGATCTGATCGCCATCGGTAAAACTCAGGCCTGATATAAACATGTTTGTTTTTTTATTTTTCATGTCAGGACTGATCCACATTTATCAGCTCAAACAGCTGCTCTTTCATCTCAAAGCAAAGGAACATATGGGGCGAGAAATCTCATTTAGATGGAATATGGCAGCGTTATCATCCGAGCCATTAGCATTGGGGTGAGGGGGGCGGGGGGGAGGGGTCTGAACAGATTCACCATCCAGTGTTTTTTGTTTTGAGGCTGAGAGCAGCCTGTCTGGTTCCTCTAAGTCGGAGCTTCCATGTTGCTTCATGAGGAACAGACATTCAGTAAAGACAGCTTTTTGCTACTGCACCCCCTAGTGGTGAGAGGGAGATTTTATTTAAATCTATTAAAGTCGTAGGGAAATCATATTTAAATGTCAAATCATTCTGGCTTAAACATGTATATAAATGTTCTCTTTATCAGACGTGAACGGACTGTTGTGCAGATGAATTCTTTTGCTCAGTATGAAGCTCAAACGTTTCCTCGGGGAAAAGCTCAGTTTGAAGGTCAGTTGATCCTTCCAGGGAGAGAAGGTCCGAAAAAGGCAAAGACAAAAAACAATGTTAAGACTCAGGTTGACAAAAACTCAGTTTGACTCAGCAGAACTCAGCTTGGCTAGAGTAACCCAAACTGGCAAACACTCTGGCGTCGAGGTAGTGGCAGTCAGCAGCTTAAGAACACTCCGTTAACAAGGTAACCCCTTGCAGGTGTGTGAGGAGGAGAATCAGAACCAGGCGCCGCCTGGTGGAGGAAGGAAGACAAACACACGAAAACACAGACCACACAGACTGGAGTCCAAACATTATATATATATATATATGTGTGTGTGTGTGTGTGTGTGTATATTTTCCTGTGTGAGGATATAGTGTCATTTTGTGCAAATCCTTACATGAGTTTTTATAAACAATCCATCTTCCTACGGAATAATTTCAAAACTCAGACCTTTTGCCAAAACCTTCTTCTTTAGGTGTGTTTGCAGCTTCTCGCTGCTTTTTCATCCAGAAATGTTGCATCATTTCCGTGCACCAGTTCCAGGTGGTTTCTTGATCCAGTAAAGTTTTTCTGTTGTGGTTTTGAGGACTTTTATTTTTATTACTTTGAATCAATTTGACTGAATGATCTGGTTGAATTGTCTCTGTAAAGTGCCTTGAGATTACATTAATTGGCGCTACATAAAT